ATTGCTAAACCGGAGCGCGACACAAGCAATAAGCAATATAGGAAATTATTATCTTTAGGTTGTCCACAAAACGAAAAACAAAACAAAACAAGCACTTCATGCACTTTGCATTTAGGAAACCAAGACGTTTCTTTCCTAATAGTTCAAATATTCTATTCAAATATTCCTCTGTAAGTAAAGTTGCAAGTTTGATTAAACTTCCCCGTGTGATAGTGTATCCTTAAATGGATAAAATCCTATTAGGTGAAACTTGCATGTGTCGATCTGTTGGATGTCTTCAATTTTGTTGTCGTTTCTGATTGAACAACTTTGTAATTGGCTACAATGAGATGTGGCATTCGTCACCCTCGCCTTTCGTAACCTCAAGAGACTCGTCCCTATTGATGCTTGTTATGTGCGAAAATACGTCAAGCCAATGGAGACACGCGTAATGGTTTGCGGTGCTTTGATAAAAATAATCCCGACTACTCCGTCGTTTTATGGCATAATGCTATTGTTTAAAATCTTCAAAAATATATATCGTCATATTGAAAGTACTAAGAACGTAGCTAACAGAATGGTGCTGTCCTAATGTGAAGTTTTTTAAAAGGCATTTCGATTGATGACGGTGAGGCTTCAAATACACGAACGTGCGTATGTTGACATAACGGCTCTCACAGGTCCAACTAAAGTGTATTTCTGAGGCGATCTTGTGGGCTTGTTGTGTGTGATTGTACGTGCGCTTCCAACGGTTTTAAAGTGTATATATAGAGGGGATCGCTACGAGTTTCAAAGCAATAATATTATATATCTGTATGTATCTAGTCAGCTTTAACTAATCTTTGACATTGGGCATATTTTTCACATCTCTGGGAATATTTTTAGTCTGACCTTTTTTGGTCATTCATATATTTTCAGCGAATTCATTTAAAATTCCACTTGGGGTATGACAGCAAGGTTACACGTGTTCAGTTTGAGAAATATTTTGAAGTCATTTTTGAGTTTCTGCCTTAGGAATTAATGTAGCTGGGTTTTATATATATTATTTTGCATATTCAATTAAACAAATCCCATTTTTGATTATTAAACCCATTTCAGAAATATACTGGGAAATATAAAGGTGAACATCTGGTAATAATAGAAGTTCAGAATATGTCTTGTAACTAATTATATGTGATTTCTCCTTCTTTTAGTTGTACCAAGGAGGTTTAATTCTTTAAAATAATTAAGCCAAAACAAAACAACAATACTAAGATTGCTTGGAGTACTTCGGTGATATTAAAGTACCATTGGAATCAAACAGGAATAGAGTTATCGTTCCTGTTTGGAAGTAGTTCTGATGTTCCTACGCCAATGAAATCCTTCCAGAGGGCACGAAGTCGCTATTCGAGCTTGTCCCGAGAATAACACAAGTTAGTCCCGACTGTGAATGTGGATAGAGTACGGTATATGTTCACATTGCTGCGGTAAGATAGAATCAAAGGGAGGTAATGTTCTGAAACCCGTCAAGTCACAAGTTATTTTCCCTTTGACCAGGGAGTAGCGTTTGGGACTGTCTCCATCATATATATAAATTTGTTGAAAAGATTTACCTGTGAACATCTTTCAGATTTAAAGGTTTTCACTATTGATAAAGCCAATTATATGAGATAGCCAGGTGATACTTGACAAAGGAAATAACAACAAAATATTTCATGCGGACGTGTCTTTATTAAGCATCGCAAGTCGCTTAAATATCACCTGCATGCATGGACAATTTGAGAGGAAGGACACCTAAGTAAATGCGCGTAAAACCAAGGTAGGAACCTAACCCTTGGCGATATTCCTCCAAATCCACAGGAAACCCAACTTTACTGTCACCAGCAGGTAGCTTTAGACGTAAGTGTTTCCATGCATTGATTACGTTTTGGTTTTAAAATAATTTTGGTTTGTCAAAACTCTCGGATTTTAACGAAAGGGTTAATTTTCTGTGCAGGGATATGCGCCAGAGGTTTGAATGAAGTTTTAAATGGACACTAATATAGATGAACAGGAACACTTCACTTTACTGACCTAATTCACATCAGTTACAACATAAGTACAGAGAATATTGGTTTTAAAGTCATTGCCTCTCCCCTTTTCGTCATTCAGCATGCGGGCAGCTACCGAAACGGACTCGTCTGCATTTGACACCAACGCAAGTGCAAGATGTCGGGACAATGACACGATCCATCACAATTCGCTGACCATCTGGCCGGTCACCACAGAACGCCACGACGGGGACGGACTTGAACACTCGGAGACATCGGTTGGACAGCCATGATCGACTTCTAAAAGGTTAGGCAATTGGTGGTCCTGAAAGATGCATTCATGATAAAGCAAGAGTCTTGTTGATAACAAGATTGGAGGTTTATCTCACTGAATATCCGTACAATCTTACAGCAAAAACATTTGAACCCAGGGGCTGACAGGACAGACCATGTGTCATTACGAAGTGAGAGTGAGGGACTTGAACCAACTATCAGTGAATCGACATTCGTCTAAGGGGCGCAACTTTGCACGGAGATTATTCTTATCTTTAATGGCCCTGCTGTCATTTGGTATTTACCTTTGACTATACTCACAGCGGTCTTTTACTCTCAGAATCAATCATCATTTTACGAAACGTAATGGATGTACTTCCAGTTTTAATGTAATAGTCAAAATCCTCTCCGAATATGAAACAATCGGTTCCTACTCTCGACCGCAGAAGTAGTTGGCGTAAAAGGCAACTAACAGGATATGGTGTTCAGGCTCGCTGGCCCGGTTGACTACATGCCATCATTGTCCTAATTGCTCATGCTATTGATCACTGGATTGTCTTTTCCGGATTCGATTATTTACAGACCGCCGCCATATGGCTGGAATACTGCAGTTCGGCGTTACCCAAAAACACAAAACAACCAACCCAATTGTGCAAACCCGATGCTCATGATGTTGATCACTGGATTGTCTGGTCCAGACAATTACGGACCGCCACCATATAGCTGGAATACTGCCAAGGATAGGGCGTTGAACAACAAAAAGCAAACCAACCTGCAGGACAGCAAAGTGGATGGTGGGTTGAATGCCAAGGATACACCAGCACGTGTCGTTTGGCATCTCCTCTATTAGTTTCGTAACACGTATCATGTCTGCTGGACATAGATCCCTGGTCACGTTATTAGCCTGAAAGTACCGGGGAAAGCTTGAGTCAATATGGAAAAGATCTTAGTCAATAAGGGGAAGCTTAGTCAATAAGGGGAAGCTTAGTCAATGAGGAAAGCTTACTCAATGAGGGAAAGCACTCAATGAGAAAACACTCAATAAAGGGAAAGCTTAGTCAATATGGGAAGCTTAATCAGTATGGGAGAAGCTTAATCAATATGGGAAAGCTTACTCGATAAAGGAAAGCTTACTCAATAAGGGGAAAGTTGAGTCAATGAGGGGAACGCTTTACATTCAATTGGAACACCAGCTATCATCAACCCAATTCTAGCTGACAAGCGTACTGGCAAGACATTCAAACATTTCTAGTGTTTGCTATGTATTCAGTGAATGAATGTGTTTACTGCCACGTTGAATAGTATCAAATTATATCAGGGACTGTCGTTCCGATGTGTACCCTTTGAGGTTTACACTTTGGTGACGACAATGCTTGCGTGAGTTTAGTTTTTATGCCGCTTTTAGCAATATTCCATCAATATCACGGCAGGGGACACCATAAATGGGCTTCACATTGTACCCATGTGGGAATCGAACTCGAGGCTTTAGCATAGCGAGCGCAACGCTTTAAGCACTAGGCTAGCCCATTGCCCTGACAGGCGCTCTATCCACTATCCACTTAACCACAGTCATTTAATCTGGCAGTAAATATGGTAAATATTTGTCGAGACCTAACTGTTCGACACAACAGCTGATTCCACCCAGCCGAGTTCGAGACAACTGGGTTCGATCGTATTTTTTTATAAAATATATTTACATAGGATCCTCTGGAATTTTAGGGTCAGTTGATGAAGTGTTGGAATACATTCAGGCATCCAGTTAGGTTCGCAGCTTTCGGTTTCGTTGTTGATAGCTTCCCTGTATAAAATAGCAATATAACAATGAGGAATGAGTGAATATTTTACGTCACATCAGCAATATTTCAGCCATATCGTGACGAAAACAATTTATACAATAATAAACTGATAAATGTAGACTATAAACACCTGTCGACAAAGGGCAGAAAAAACAACTAGAGTAGTTTAGATACATATCTAAAACTAGCAGGTAACCCTAAAAGTATTTAAAATTATTTTTCTATTGAAGATGATCCAATATAAAAATGGGCTATAGAGCGCCAGCAACTGAAGGTAGAACAATATACCAAGGACCACGGGCAGTTGCCATTGTTAGCTGCACAGACCCCATCTTTTCAGGTGTTGGAGATTATTGACCAAATTGTGTCATTAGAAGAATATACATATTCAATGATGAAACGCCTGTAGACATACGTGCCCTCCCAGGGCAACATTATTTATGCTATTAGGAACTATAGATGATGACTTGAAACATTTGATCCTTTGTGATGAACATCTGTAACACTAAGGAAACATAATGTCTCTGGAACAAAGAGGATTCAACCACATTATTCAAATACAAGGTTGAAATTAAGCTTGTGAAAAGGTAATGGAGCTAGTGCACCTTTGGCTATCTCAACTCACGGGACCATGAAGCCCTCCGGAAATATTGGGTTCCAGGGTCCCGTTCCACAAAACGGTCTTTAAGCTAAAGGTGATCGTAACTCCTATACATGTACTTTTACGGAGGCTTACGAGGCTTAGCGCTAAGACCACTATATGGAACAGGCCCTTGGGTCTTGGAACTGTAGTGAGGTCTGAAAAAACATTATTTTCGGGGGCCTAAGCACGGTGATGAAGCCCGCAGAAAGTCTCAGATTCAATAGCCTTAGTGATGTAATGAGGTCTGAAGGAACATTATTTTCGGGGCCCAAGCACGGTGATGAAGCCCGCAGGAAGTCTCAGATTCAATAGCCTTAGTGATGTAAATGAAGTCTGAAGGAACATTATTTTCGGGGCCTAAGCACGGTGATGAAGCCCGCAGGAAGTCTCAGATTCAATAGCCTTAGTGATGTAATGAGGTCTGAAGGAACATTATTTTCGGGGGCCTAAGCACGGTGATGAAGCCCGCAGGAAGTCTCAGATTCAATAGCCTTAGTGATGTAATGAGGTCTGAAGGAACATTATTTTCGGGGGCCTAAGCACGGCGATGAAGCCCGCAGGAAGTCTCAGATTCAATAGCCTTAGTGATGTAATGAGGGCTGAAGGAAAATTATTTCCGAGACCTAAGCACCGTGATGGTACCCTCAAACACTCTCAGATTTCATGGCCTGAGCAGAGTAATGAGGTCTAAAGGAACAGTATTTATTGTGATGGAACCTGCAAGAAGCCTCCGGTTCCATGGGCTTAGCACTACATAATGAGGTCTGAATGAACATTATTATCGAAACAAAGGCAGAGCAATCAAATATCCCAAATGTAATCTCACCTAAAAACGCTTATGCAAAATAATGGCGTCTGCAGAAAACATCATGTTCAACGGCCAACGCACCGCAATGAAAGACTGCAGTAGTTCTTAGATGCTAGGACATGTTTAATATAATGGAATCAGCAGGATATTTCACGGGCCAACATACTGTAATTAGGCCTGGGGCGAACCTCATGTTCCCGCCCGATGAACGGTAAAAGTAACAGGACCTGTGCAGTGGACTCGAGCCTCCCGAAAATTGACAGGCACCAGGACCTTTGCAAAGGGCGGAATTTAAACTACAATCTGAGGGTCGATGCCCGGAACCGCATTCTGATGACCTTCTTAGTCAAGTAGGTCAAATCTCAAGTAGGTCATAGACAATGCAATGGTTTATATCTTTAGCTTTGAGAATGGGATAGCTTTTGAAACTCGTAAATATAACACATAGAATTTAGTCTCCGAATTAGTCTCACTGTCACCAGTTACAGTGAGGCAGAAAATGACAGGGTTTTATCCTTGGTTATAAGACTGACTTAATTTATCAAAATCGGAAATGACAAATATTGTGAGGAAGCCCCTAAATTCACACCATTGTCATTAGATTCAGTGAGATGGATAAAACAGGTGCCCTTACGCAGGGTATCCAGTGGCGTTGCTGGACAACATGAATGGCTGTGAGAAGTCAGTTTGTTGAGGGCAGTTTGCGACGAATTTCCAGATGAAGCGTTTGTCTCTCACGTTGGGCTCTTCTGAGTCATCGTCAATGTCGACATCATCAATGTCATAGGACACAGCAGCAGGGATGATCAAGACGACCAGAAGTAGAACCTGAAGTACAAGTTAATCAACATCACATGTACAAGGTTCTTAATGGTTATGTGGAATGGTTATGGCATCACCAACCCGACCTGTGAAGATCCCGGTTAAAACCGGCCGTCAGTAGCCCTTGCTTGTCGTAAGAGGCAACTAACGGGTGGTCAGGCTCGCTGACTTGGTTGACACGTGTCATTGTATCCCAAATGCGTAGATTGATGTTCATAATGCTAATTACTGGATTGACTGGTCCAGACTTGATTATTTACAGACCGCGGCCATATTGCTGGAATATTGCTGAGTGCGGCGTAAAACTAAACTTACTCACTCGATCAAATCCTTGAATGGCATTTTAGAAGATGAAATGAACATCACTGACCCGGAAACAATTTTTGTAAGAGTGTGGCACACTTGGCCATGTTCTATAAACTCTTAATACATCGTTCATCCTAATAGTATGAATCTATACGGTACGTACGGGTTGGTGAATGAAGTTGTGAAATTAAAGGAGCAATTGGCTGTATCGTTTTGCACAGTCGTATATGTTCGTGAATCACCTTGAAATTGAGCATTGAAGGGAATATCAACCGGTTGTATCAAATTGCCGTTCTATCAACTTTTAATTGATTGTGCATCGTACGAATCTATATCGTATTTCTGCGTTTGTGAATGACCTAGAAATTGAGCATTTAAAGAAATATCAAATGGGCATTCCAGAAAATTTCAATTCATTGTGCATCATACAAATCTATCTCGTACGTCTAGATCTGTGTTTGTGAATGACGTAGAAATTGAGAATTTAAAGGAATAGCAACTGGATGTATAATATTGGGCAAAGGAATGTGTTTGTGAATCACTGTTGAATTGTGAAATGATATGAGTATCAATCCGCTGATGCAATTTCATTGCACTGGCAGTGCAATAATCTGCCTGCATTTTTGCGATTACGACCAATTGTCTGCTGGCACCACAAACGTGATTATACCTTTCATAAAACATTTATGACTTTGGTCATTGTGGGCTTCAATATTCAAACTACATACGAGACATGATGCAACTGGAATGCTCTTCACAAACTGTGATTTCGCACTCTCTCACCCACTCACTCACCCTGCCACTAATATTAAACACCAATAACATGTCGACCCGTGAAGATCCGGGGTAGAATAGGTCTTCAGCAACCCATGCTTGCCACAAAAGGTGACTATACCTGTCGAAAGAGGAGACTAACGGGATCGGGTGGTCAGGCTTGCTGACTTGGTTGACACATGTCATCGGTTCCCAATTGCGCAGATCGATGCTCATGCTGTTGAACACTGGATTGTCTGGTCCAGACTCGATTATTTACAGACCGCCGCCATATAACTGGAATATTGTTGAGTGCCTCGTAAAACTCAAAAACTAAACTCACTTTCCTACCACATACACAAGAACGCCCTGGTATTACTTATCGACAATTGAGAAAACAGAACAGTAAATACACAAGAACGACCTTATCGGCATGAATGAAAGAAATAACAAGCGCCGTGTATTCAGATCTTAGCTTTTTTCATAGTTTACAACTGGTCAGATTACCACACCGTCCTTGCACTGAAAGTAACAGGTAGAACATAATAACTACTGGCTTGTCCGAGGTCGTATCAACAGTGTTGTGGAGAATAGTCCATATACATTGTAAATGGTCTGCTGTTAAAGTTCAATCTGTGAAACTATTTATATACCATTAAAAATAAGTAGGGGATATTCCATTTTGCGAGCATACCACTAGCCAATGCCAATGCATATTAGAAAAAGTAATATATATCCATACAGATGAAACATTTCCAAAGGAATGGAATAAACTGTCACATTTTCCCTTTATTTCTCTTCATCATCTGTTTCCTCCTTGGCTTCATCATTTGCATTTCATCAATCTTGTAAATCCAATATCCCCTACCTTTTTTGGATGGTATATATGACATGGTCATAGATTATAGTCCAGCTGCATGTCATATGAGCAGGATATACTTTTACATTAGTCACCGACGAGTAACTAGCTATGAATAACCTTATTATTGCGCCACTCTTGATCAAAGACTTTTTATCAACGTTGCTATAGAACTTGTGCTAAATGTTCCTGAGAAATACGTGCACGTTTTCACATTCGTTTACGGTAAAAAGCTGCTTTTATTGCATATTTCAGAATTTTTATCACTCGCTATTATTTATCAGATACGTTTGAAAACAGAATGTGTAATAAAAACGATTCATTTTATTACCTCTGTGCTGATGAAACGTTCAGCACGAAACCATTCCTATCTGTTATCAGCTCTCAACAATATTCCAGCTGTATGACGACGGTCTTTAAATAATCGCGTTGGACCAAACAATTAAGTGATTTTCAACATGATTAGTTGGGAGGTGTCTAGGAATAGACATATACCATTTTTGCAAACTGTGTGAGTGGCGGGTGCGTGAACAGGACATGCTTATCGGGAACCCTTGGAGTCAACACTGAATTTCAGTGGTCCATTTATAAAGTTTTCCCTGCTAATTTACCTGTCAAAGCGAAAAGAAGTCTTTCTTCGGATAAACGTGACAAGACGTTATTTTTTGACATTATGGTTTTATAAGTTTTGTCACACGTAAATATTTGATAAAGCTCTGGTAGAACTGAAACATTTGCAAAATCATAACTGAATTGTAATGTCGCTTAGTTAGGCCCACTAAATGACAAAGTGAGTGAGTTTAGTTTGACACCGTTTTGAGCTGCAGGTCACGTGTGGCTATCATGGCCTTTCGGATTTTAGGTAGAAAGACAAAAGGTTTTGGCAAGTTCTTGGTGTGTACCGATGTGGTTAACTAAAACCAAAAATCGGAAATACTTAATGTTCTTTTTTCATTCGATGTTCGCCAGATGTACAAATGAAAATATATTATATACAATATTATATTATATGTACATGTATCTCAAACTATTCACTTGATTGCGTCTATAATCATGTAATACCCTGTACCTCGCAAAAATAAATAAAGTGATAAAAAAATCTATAGGAAGATCATGTATTCTTACATGCATATCATACGAACAGCGACTCGTCAAGATCTGGCTTAGAATTGTCTTAGTCTTGAGCAACCCATGCTTGTCGAAAGAGGCAAGTAACCGGATCGGATGGTCAGACTCACTGACTTGGTTGACACATGTCATCGTATCCCAATTGCGTAGATCGATGCTCACAATTGTTGATGACTGGCGTTTCTGGTTCAGACGCGATTGTTTACAGATCACCGCCTTATAGCTGGAATATTGCTGAATGCGGCGTTAAACAACAAATAAACAAACAAACAGGTCAAATACAAACTTCAGCAATGAGTGAGTGAGTGAGTATGGTATAGCAATATTCTAGCAACATCACGGAGGGGGACACCAGAAATGGGCTTCACACATTGTACCCATGTGGGGAATGGAACCCGGGTTTTGGGGGTGACGAGCAAACGCTGTAATCACGAGGCAACCCTACCGCTCCTTCTTCAGCAACAATGTGGTTTAGTTCACTTACCTGGAGTTTCATGATGCTTGACCGCTGATGGCTCGTCATACACAGAATAGAGAAGCGGTGGTCCTTATATAGAGACCTGTTTACTTGTTTTTGTCAAGTGTTTAGTCGAGCATGCACACGGATCCTGCAAGTCAGCATGACGGGGCTAAATATACGGACAAATTCATTACGAAAAAAGAAGTACCAAAAAGGATGTTTTGCCGATCCCTACTAATGCACATTTCTGTGTTTATGCCACGCTGTGTCTCACATTGAACCGGACACAGGCAGCGCTCAATTAAGGGGTAAACAGTCAGGTTTCTGTGTAATAACCATGGGGTCTGAATAGCGTCAAGTAGAGTGTGAGAAGATGTGACATCCGTCATTGTCAAATTTAGATATGGACAGATAACATTATACGGTATGTCATAAAATTTCATGGTTCTGAAAGGAATTTACAAGCAGCAATTTTGAACAGCAGAAAGGCTGTCCCCCTCAGGGGGTGTGAAGAGTGCTTTAAACTTGGGTAATATACCCTTAGTATGAATTGCTTGTGCACATGCACTCCACTACATGTTCACTTTAACCCGTGAATATCCCGGTTAGGATTGGTCTTCAGGTCCATGATCATCGAAGAGGCGACTACCGGATCAGTTGGTCAGACTCGCTGATTTGGCTGAAACATGTCAGTTGCGTAGATCGATTCTCATGATGTTGATCACTGGATTGTCTGGTCCAGATTCGATTACTTACTGACGACCGCCATATAGCTGGAATATTGCGGCGTTAAACCACACAGAAACATATACATTGTTCTACTGTTTACATGCCTTTGAGATATCATATTTTCTAAGACAGCACAAAATATCATTTGGAATACAAGTTCACTTTGTTTTCAATGTGCGAGTTTCTTTTAGGATTGTTTACTTAAACGCACAATACCCAAATAAAATGCAGATTCATTCTGAACAGCATGAACAATCCTATAATCCAATGGTATCATGTGCCACCACCGACCTGATGCCAAGTTCCGGGTAGTTGAGTAAATGCAGAACTGGAGACACCTGGATGTGTTTAATGTACACTCCCAGTTCACAGCGTGAACGTGAAATGTGTTAAGCAATAAACATTTCAAAGGAGGGAATACATCAAAGAAAATATACATTAACGAAAACTACTAAAATGTTAGATGGGGATGGAACATATTTAATGTGGTAATTTTAAATGTTCCCTTAAAACATGACAACATAAATTTGCATACGTTCTTTGTGACTGGTATGACTTATCAGCTCGTTCTGAAATACACGATTCATTCGAATTTCCATATGAATGAAAGCAACAAATATTGCTCAAAACATAAGCACCTGTACGATTCTGGATGCGTTCGAATCACCACCAAACAATGGTGGATGAGCGAGCGATTACTGCTTTAACAATCTGGCAGCTATTGACGACATCTAAGTTACATTGCCACGTATATACTCACGTGGAAAAAAGGGGAACACACCAGTTCCATCTATATGACAACAATCTGTGAATAATCGAAGGGCTGATCATTAATGGTGATGTCATCTCAACGTTCTTTGTCTTACCGCACATCCCTTTCGTCTCACCTGATGATGGATCGTCCCTTACAAAATATAGCCAATGTCATTTGTTGAGTGTCACCTAACGCTATGGTGCGTCTTCTATTTCCACCCATTCTTGTCATAAGAGGCGATTAACAGAATCGTGTGGTTAGGATCGCTGACTTGGTTGACACATGCCATCGTATCCCAATAGCGTAGATCGATGCTCATGTTGTTGATCACTGGGTGGTCTTGTCCAGACTCGATTATATAGACTGCCGCGATAAAGCTGGAATATTGCTGAGTGCGGCGTAAAACAACAAACCAACAACACAACCAAACCCCTTTCCACCCAATAGCCACACCTCTTTGTATTTCGGTAATTATAAGATATTTTCAGTTATTTCCTACATTGTAGGGAGTATACCATTATGCTTCTTAATATTCAGAACAGACCCTGAATTTAAAACAAGTCTTAAAGGAAAGTTTGGTTTTCGATTTTTGTTCGATAGATTTATACTTTTGAAAGTTATTTTACTATGGCAATCTGATCCACTGAAAGATTGGAGGCACCACATCACGGTATTTTTCCGGTCACCCAACGGTTATTATGACGTGGTGGGGGTAAAATCAGAGGCAATGTGTTCTTTGTTATTTTTCGAAACGAATAACGAATATAATAACGAGGAATGGGTTTTATGGGCTGACAATTTCTTTACTACCACAGATGCGACGTTTAGGTGTAGATGACAACAGCGTATGCACAAGGAGAATATACTAACGATAAAGGATATTTGGGGTTTTGTAGTTGAAGAGGTTGGTGTACAGTGTTATGGCATAGCGGATATTTGTTGTGTTTATTGATGATGGCTATGAAGACATATGGATAAGGGTAGGAACGGGTTACTGTACATTGGCCTTGATTAGATGATGGTAAGCATTGGGAATGTTATCTTTGATCTCTGTTTATTGCAGGGTTGGGCCGTTTCATGATGAATGCCTCCGGAACGTCGTATCTATTGCAATAAAGTAACTTGTACCTCTTCATCATACCAGTTTCTAAATGCCAATTAAATAAGTTTTAAACGAATATATTTCACTTCACTGGTGAGAGGTGGCATGTTTTTGCATGGATTATTAACAAAACAGTCCCCTGAACATGATTTAGGAGCAGATGATGAATAATGTCCTAAATTTGTACCTTGTATTGCAAAACTTAAACTTTTTTCCATCACAAAAATTAATGTACGATAGTATCGATAACCCAGTTTTCATATCGATAATCATTTGTAATTGTGCCTATTGACAATATCTCCGATTATCGATCATTTTAGCCAACCCTAATACTGCATGTAACAAACATGGTGATCCTTACATTACATTGTTACAATATGTGAGTGAGTTGGCTGTAATGCGTAAAGTGACCATATTTAATTATATCCTTATATAATAAGTATTCCAGCTATATGGCAGTGGTCTGTAAACAATAGAGTCTGGATTCACGCAAACGGGATACGATGACATGTGCCGACCAAGTCAGCGACCCTGACCACCCGATCCAGTTAGTCGCCTCATACGACAAGCTCGGGTTGCTGACGACCAATTCTAACCCGGGATTTTCACGGGACGTACAATCCGTTGTAAATGATTGTAATTGGTGGCATCCTGTCAGATGGAAATGTGATTGTTAACGTACGCCCCCTTCACAGTGTCCTTGAAGGTGATAAAACTTTTACCATTATATGTTACAAGAAACCGACGCTATCTGTCCTTGTCACAATAAAATCGTGCGTCGTGCAACTGTGTCTGATTGTCACATGGTAAATCTCACGGACGCCTCTGCCAATCCCACTTGTGAAGGCAGGATGTCTCTACTTACAACTGTCCTTGCAGTATTGCCCTTATTTGTTGGTACGTACACAAATATTTATGTTTATTTACGGTAATGAGCATAGATAGTTCAACTGTATTATAAATATGTACACAAGAGTAGTTTTTATGGTGAAATATTCAAAACAAACAATTATACCACGCTTCGAAACTGTTTTAACAATACTGCGACACGAATGCATGACATGTGAAGAATATTCCTAAAAGTGACGCTTTAGCGACTGGAATAGTGCCCGTTGCAATTCCCTATAGTGAGTGTGCGAGTGAGTTTAGTTTCATTCAGCAATATTCCAGCTATATGGCGCAATATTCCAGCCATATACCTATCTTTATTGTGAAAATGGATTTTTTATTTATCATTTTTCGTTTACCAGAAGATCAGTGGAAAGAACACTTCAATGTGGTTATTCGAACATATGAAAGCTTGCGTTGTACAAACAAGCATACGCGCAAGGACATGACTCTTTAAAGCAGAGGGGTTATTTTGACTGAGTGAGTGAGTTATAGTTTTACGCCACTTTTAGATATATTCCAACAATATCACGGCGGGGGAACACTAGAACACCAGCTTTATACATTGTGTCCATGGTAGGAATCGAACCCGGGTGTTCGGCGTGACGGGCGAAGGCTTTACCCACTAGGTTATCCGTCCGTACCGGGATATTTTAAATGGTTAACGTAAGCATTGAGGCTTGTCATAAAAACAAAATATTCATGATTTCCACTTCAGATGCTGATGTGGACCTTGCATCACCGTTAGTGTTTGATCCAATATTCTACGTCAACACTAACGCTGACCTCCACCATTTGGGCATCAACACTGAAGCCGCAGCTAAGCAACACTGGCTGTCGAAGGGGATCAGCGAGGGACGACAGGGTTGTGGTAGCTTTCACTCAAGACAATATCTTAAAAGGTAAAGCTACTTTCAATCAAGACATATTTCAAGCTAAACGAATTGTTGGGTAGCCTGGCCGTTTCAACATTTGCTCGTCATGGCTAAGTGAGCGTGAGTGAATTTAGTTTTACGCCGTTTTAGTTATATTCCAGAGGGGGGCGCCAGAAATGGATTTCACACATTGTACCCATTTGGGGAATCGAACTCAGGTCTTCGGCTTGACGAGCTAATGCTTTAACCACTGGGCTACCCCACCACCCCCTCATGACGAAGATACGGGTTCGATTCCTCACGCGTTCACTATGAGAGGTGTGCATCACTGGACCCATAAGGTTCTAACATTATAAAACTTGCCTCAAGCCGCACTATATAGATGGTATATTTTAATCACAGTCAACAAAAGCAATGGTATGTAATAAATGTAGAAAACACTCCATTGAAGCTTGCTGTAATTTCATTATTGCAGCTTTACTTGAAAGGTTCTTGTGTATGCCATATGTGGTAACTTTAGGAGCCTTGATATTTAAGTTTATTATACTCTTAAGTATGAAAGACCGCTACTTCCAAGTTTGGGAAAAGTTATATTTTCACAGTAGTGAATGTTCACCAATCAGCTGATGGCCACGGTGTTCATTTTCAACCTCACTGAGCGCGTAAGATTGGGAGTGGCTGTGTTTTGTTGAATCCACGCTTCGCTTCGTGCGAGTTTATAACTTGCGTTGGAAGTCACTGGCCCGCTAGCCCGTGGCTAGTAAAAATCCAGTCGGGCCAGTAAATCTCCACAGTCACTAGTCCGACTGGCTAGAGAATGTTTATGGCGTCATTTTGTAAATATGTCTCTCTCAGACTTGTTAAGTTATAATACACTTTTAAATCATGCAAGATTATGACCTGATTAAAATGTTCATCATGTTAGCAGCTTAATGATGAAACCCGTGTCATGCCGACAATATCTTATTCTGAGATTATTCTCATCACTTTTTTAAATCTTTTTGCTTAGGTTATATATTTGAATTTCGGACTCGTGAATTAGTTTGTGGGCTAGCAATTTTCAGGCACAGCTGTCCCGACTGGCTAGCAAACTTGGAAACTATTTCGCACACTGAGTAACTATATCCTACTCCACTAACAACGGTCATAGCCTGCATTTATGCTTAATGACATGCTAAATACATTTAGTTTTACGCCGCTTTCTCCATAGCCCTCTTCCCTATCTATCGGCGCACAATGCTTTTTGTGCTGCTAATGTATTCTTACGCCACACCGATCGACTGGCTGACAGTTACAATACAATAACAACAAAAAGACAGCAACAGCAATTGATATAAATATGTGTTGTCTGGATTTGCATTGATTTCCAAATGCCACGTGAACAGTTTATAGTTTACAGTTAATCGAATGTTCTGTGAACTATATCGTTTAAATGAAAAGAAACATTGGAAGCATAAAACTAATAGAATATTGCATGTGTTTCATGAACTATGATATATCTGCCATCGAGTTAGGTGAAAATGGTGACATTTGCACGTGGCATATATCTTATATCTATCTGTAGCTTATATTTCTGTTACAATGCCAGATTTAAGTAACAAGGTCGATGCATTGTTTTGACTGTGGAAATGCGGCTAAGAATGGGTCTTCAGGAAGCCATGCTTGTCGTAAGAGGCGATTAACGGGACAGCGAGTGAGTCAGTAAGGTTTGTTTTATGCCGCTTTTAGCAATATTTAAGTAATATCACAGCAATTGACATCAGAAATGGGCTTCACACATTGTACCAATGAAGGGAATCGAACCGTGACTTCAGTGTGACGAGCAAACGCTTTAACGACTGGGCTACCCAACCGCCCCCTAACGGGTCAGGGTGGTCAGGGTCGTTGTCTTGGCTGATGCTTGTCAGTTGCATAGATCGATGCCCATGTGAGTCACTGAATTGTCTGGTTTAGATTATTTAGAGACAGTTGCATATAAATGGAATACTGGACGTTAAACGACAATATTTCTAGATATATGGCAGTCTTTACATAAACGAGGCTGGACAAGACCATCCAGTGATCAACATCATGAGCATCGATCTACCTAATTTGGATACGATGACATTTGTCTACCAAGTCAGCGAGCCTGACCACCCGATCCCGTTAGCCGCCTCTTACGACAAACATGGGTTACTGAAGACCAATTCTAACCGGACCTTCATGGGTCAAACCAAACTAAACAAACTGACTTCTCTTTTAGGATTCTATCTAGAAATATTGAAGAATTGGATGGAAATATCATGAAATGATCCTATCTTATGTCTCCTGTAATCCCAGGTATTCGGACCTTACCAAGGCATATGGCACCGACTATCACCAAGCTGTCGTACACTACTTGAACCATCAAAGCGAGAAAAGGCTGGGGTATGTGGACGGAGGCTACAGCGGAAGATGGACCATATCGAACCACGACCATGACCTCTTCGTCAGTGCTTCTGGGCGGATGGGAGGAGCCATTGACAGCCTGGTCTGGGACAACAAGGAGTTCATCAATGCCTGGGATCATGGCAGAGAGCTTCAGATGGCGACCAATACTCACCCATACGGGGAATGCTTCAACCCCACAGAAGCTGGAGGTAGAGATGACAGCATCGGACCAAGCACAAAGTCCAAGATTATAAGTATATCATCACACGGGAGCACCCTGAAAACAACAGTATGTATTCGGTTTGTATCGTGTAACTGCACTCGTCTTTTTATCTCTGTTTGTAACCTGTCAAATGTAAGCAAATATGTAGATCTGGATATGAAGACATGTGCACACATACACAGAGAATTTAGTTAAGCATCCCCTGACATATCTCACGATTGAATGAGTCCATATCTTAACCCTTTGGAGCATATCTGGGACATGACTGCAACAAAGGGATCCTCCTGCACATAACCTGACCCAGCTGAAAGCTGCTTTGCACGAGGAATGGCGTAGACTGCCCCTTTAGAGGATCAGGAGGCTGACATGGGGTATGAGTAGGAGTGTGTTGGCTGTCATTCATTCACATGGGGGTTACACTCGGTATTTACACTGAATCGTGTAGGAAACGTGAAATGACATTTTGAAAGTTCACATTCACCCTTAAATTCAACATTAAACATTCCAGGGCCTTACTTGTACAGACATTGATTTTATATGAAAATCAGTGTTTTTATTTTTCAAAATGAGCAATTTATAATCAACATGGTCTCAAATCATTTTGTCGGTTTTTTATGAGTCAAAGATATACGGGTCAGAAAAACTCATGTTTTTCCATCGTGGTCTCCACGACAAGTTGTATGTGGGTGTTGAAAACCTATCATTGCAAAAATACAAGGGGTGCTTAATTAACTATATATTTGTGTATATATTAAATGTAAAACAAGAAGAGTCATATTTAGAGAATATTAAAACGCACCGCAATCTGAACAAGTCATACATGTATATAGATCATCGATGAACGGTACAACAATCAGAGATATATCACAGGTTATACTTTTAAATTTTTTTTATTGTTCTCGAACAGAAAGGGTCAGATTATGAAACGTAAAAAATAGGCTCTGTATCCCCCAAAGCAGCATGTTTGAAAAACGTGAATGCATCATCTGTTTAAGAATCACCCAGCGTTCTGGCTACGTCATGGCGGCCATGAAGCCCCAGGATCGAAAAACAGGATATGCTCAGGAGGCGCCCCTGCAAGAAACACTGTAGATACTTACGGATACGACTTCTCCAAAAATGTTACAATTGGTTGTGCAGGCATGTCTCATTGTATCAAATTTGAGTCAATGTTCACAGTTGCCGGTGAGTGGCCGGCAGGAGTTACTACCCATAATTTTGAAGCGCCAACCGGCTACATGACAAAGGACTTCCGTGTCCTTAAAGGTCTCAATTTGGGTACTGGCCGGATACAGCCTTACGCTAGCGGTCAGCCTGTTGTTCTTGCAACATCAGATCTCAAGCATGCAATGGGAGCCTACGCCCCGACAGGGCAGGACACGGATGAGCCACACTACTACAGTGGAATAGTCTTCGGAAGTGCCTTTCCCAGTGGAACCAGTAAATGGGGATCAGTGTTCCGGAAGAAAGCTTTCCCACATGGAAGCTCAAACAAATTATTCTATGTCACCTATATTTGTGTTGGGAGCCTTGACCAGGTTTCTGAGTGCCTAAAAAAGCTCCATGCCACATATCCAAAGGTTTAGTACATCATCGTCTTTTACACTGATTAAAGTGCTTAAAAGATCTATGAAGTGGTTTGTTGTTCTCTCACGATCCCGACTTGGTCTTAAACCTTGGTTATAAGAGAGCTTAGATAATGTTATCTGATTTTATGTCACATGCTATGCTATTCCAGTAGTGTACTATTCAAAAGAAATGACGCACTATACCACGCCACTTTAGATATATCAGCTGTACATATACCAACTGGAGAGCGGAAGGTTCGATCCCCGACCGCGTCATACCAAAAGACGTTAAAATATGGTACTTGATGGCGCTCGGCATTAATGGGTACAACAAGGACTGGTCGGCTCGGAGTCAGTATAATGTGTCTGAGTGGGGTATTCTTGCTTCACTGCGACATAGTATCTCAGTAGGCTAGCTTTATAAAACCAGCTTAAGTCTGGGCTAGTACAAGCAGCCGCACATACACATACACACGTCGTCATATGAGCGAAATATTCTCAAGCACGACGTTAAACCCAGTTTCACCCCACCTCACATATACCAACGGAAAAAAGTAACTGTGCATTATTTGATGTTATGTCATATTTTAATGCAAAATGATAATAACATGATTTGTAGTGTGTTCCTTTATCTCTGTTTAACTGTTGACAGGATAAGATCGAAATCTGTATGATTTGGCACTGGTGTTGATGCAGGTTTGACAACGACGACGCATAGACGACACTAAGCGACTGAAGAAAGCTTGGGGAATGATGTTCAATGTCTGAACCAACGCTTGTTCCAGTTCAGCTAAGTCAATGACTGATTCTGGGTTTGACGTAAACATCGCAACATTTCATCCCAAACATGCTCAGCGAGGGACAGGTCCGGAGAAACAGTTGGCCAGGGGAGTACAGGAATGTTCTCCCTTGTGAAGAAATCTGTCACAGCACAAGCGACATGTGGACGGACATTATCTTGCTGAAGTTCATTGAGCACAAAGTGCGATACGTGACATTAAATTCCTTGTAAAGGGCTTTGCTACATGTTTATTTAGTGTTATTTTTATAACTTCCCAAATAACGTTTATTTTAAGCAATTTTATGTTATGCACAGTTACATTTTTCTGTTAGTATACATAATTGTTTTCCCGTCGGTTTTCATTGTCTGGACGGGGTCGAGCGGTCATTCTTGCTGACTTGGTTGACATGTCATCGTATCCAATTACTTAGATTGATGCTCATGCTGTTGATCACGGAGTTGTCTGGTCCAGACTCGATTATTTACAGACCGCTGCCAAACAGCTATAATATTGCTGAGTGCGGCGTTAAAACAACAAACCAACCAACTAACTGTTAAAATCTGCTCTGAAATAAATATTAATAAACCTTTTAGTTTCGGCTTACATGAATTATGCCATCTAAATGATTGAGTGAGTTTAAAGTCAACGTCACATCGACAGTTTCTTAACCCATTCAACACCGCAGGCCGCTTAAGCGGCCACAACGTTATGAGTCCCCAGACACCGGAGGCCGATTAATCTGCCGAGCAGTAGTCACGTCAAAATGAGACATAATTTTAGGAACCTACCTGACTTATGATTCATATATTAAATCTATCACATTTCACAACACTTATTAAATTTCAATTTATCATATATTATCAGCAGAATTAAAAATTATAATCTATTTTTCGCAGTGTTATTGAAAACAACGATTCTCGGACACATGCTTCGGCAGCGGGTCCACAATAACATTGTCAAAGAGCAAAGTAACGATGTTTCGAGGAATTCATTAAATAAATTGAATAAACTAATGAATAAAATCAACAACAACATTCATAAAAGTTGTCAAACGTACATATAAAATTACTATTTCCATCTTTTTGTGCGATCATGTAATGTAAGTCAAGTCACTGACAAGTGACATCTCGGCTCTCGCCGCCTCAATCTTCACGCTCGGACACGATGTTTAATGCGAAAATATATACATGAAGCATTTGTGTCAAAGGTCATAACCTAGCACGATACGTCCAAAACGTTCCATAATCTACGTATAGGTAGCGATTTCTTGCTTAATATGTTTAGAATAGCATTATTTTACCCAAAACTTTTGTCTAAATCTAAAAGGTTTCGTTTACGAGGACGGTATCCATTGCCGTAATATGATTGGCTGCCTTAGGTCACGTGTCTGATTTTGACCAATTACGACCCTGTGGCGAAAAAGCGTCATTAGAAACATATCTTTATCCAATAAAATCGCTTCTTACAACTGTGAAAATACTCTCGGCAAGGGTACAGTGATGTTGATGTTCAGAGCTTTCAAACGATACCCGACATCACACGATTCGCCTCCCATGTTATTCATACGAAGCTTCGAAAACGGAGGTATTTTCCGTTGTTATGTCTTGTTACCGAGCGGAAAGTCACAGATATCGGGAAATAGGAGACCATACATATTATTTAAGAAATCTTTTTATAATAATTTTCTGATTACGTAAAAATGAAAATATATAAGAAAAAGGCACGGGCATGTTATGACATGTCACAAATGGAACAAAATCGCCATAGTTTTTGCTTCTCTCGTGGTTTATCTGGACGTTATAAATGTAAGCTTGCATTTTCATTCAAAAATAAATTTATTTAAGTTGTAGTTGTATTATTTGAATAATATTATAAAAATAAACTTCATATTTATCAACAGTAGGATTAGATCTTTTAAATGGTGTATGGGATGTAGTAGCAATAACGTTTTACAAGCTTATAATTTCCTTCATAAACATAGGCTTCATCTATGACCTCAGAGTCTCTGGGAACTCGGTGTCATGGCAGTAAATGCCTCTGGTTGACTGGTGTTGAAAGAGTTAACTATTCTAGTGACGAGAAAATTATCGAGATAAATACCTATCATAAAGGACAGATTCCATATTTGCTTGCTTCATAGTTAACGTCACACTCAGCAATGCTCCAGCTATGTGACGGCGGTGTGTAAATAGTCGAATCTGGACATCAAATACATCTACATGCGCAATTGTGATAATGATAAATATAAGGCCACTTGTATAGCGCAGAACTCCACGCCTCAGGGACATGCACTGAGCTCGTACAACATCATGGGCATTATTACCCCAGGTAACCCAAGCAGCCTGTGAGGCGTAAGAAGGATAATAATCATATGACTTATCCCAACATGTACCCATTTTCTGCCGGGTGAACAGAGGCAATTTTGAACAAACTCACTTGCCTAAGGTTAGCTAAAGTTGGACTGACCATCTGATGCTGTTCCGTCCTACGGTATCCATTGTGCTGAAGACCGGTTCTTACAGGATCTCCATGGGTTTCATATAGGTCATATATGTGAATTACCAGAAAATACATTCGTGATCAACTCGTGTTATTCCGAAACAAGCCGAATAGCTTGCCCATCCGGAAGGATTTCATTTGGGCGCAGAACTACATATCATCAGAACTACATTAAACAAGAACGATAACTCTACTCCTGCTTGATTCCAGTGGTACTTAATATCAGCGAAGCACTCGTACATTGTATTGCTGTTTTTGTTTTCGTATTTATGTATCTATTTTAAAGAATTAAACCTCTTAAACACCAACAACCAAAAGAAGGGAAAGATATTTGTAAAACACACATTCTAATGTAATAATTACCAGCTGTTCACCTTATGTTTCCAAATGTATATTTCTAAATAGGGTTTAAGAATCACACATGGGATTTGTGTTATTAAATATGCATTTTTTCAACTACATTAAATCCTAAAGCAGATACTATAAAAATGACTTCTAGTGAGTGAGTGGGTTTAGTTTTACGCCGCATTCAGCAATATTCCGGCTATATGGCGGTGGTCTGTAAATAATCGAGTCTGGACCAGACAATCCAGTCATCAACAGCAGGATCATCGATCTGCACAATTGGGAACCGATGACATTTGTCAACCAAGTCAGCGAGCCTGACCACCCGATACCGTTAGTCGCCTCTTACGACAAGCATGGGTTACTGAAGATCAATATTCTAACCCGGACCTTCACGGGTAAAATGACTTCTAATTATTTCTCAAACTAATCCTTGTAACATTGCTGGCATACCCCTAGTGGAATTTTTAAATGAATGCGCTGGGAAAAATATGAATAATACCCAAAAAGTCCTAACACCAAAAATATCCCCAGAAACGTGAAAAATAAGCCAAATGATAGATTAAAGTTGATTAGTAATATATTAACTTGATAGTATTGTTTTGAAACTCGTAGCGATTAATAATTACTAGCATATATTTTCTGAAGTGCACGTACAATCTCCAAAACAAGCCTGCAAGATCGTCACAAATACACTCAACTGGACCCCATGAGAGCCGTTATGTCATCCGAATCCTCCAACAGCGCTCTACCAACTATTTCCCTTTTCCCCCAGGATTCGAGGTTCAGTGGTTTAGTGGCCACAGTCCATCAATGCACAAGGTGGACAGACTCTCCACTGATCGCTGCTTGTTTAACCACTCATTTTGTCTTTCTTACGAACAATTCATTGGTGGCAGTAACAGCTTCAACACGTATTCCGTTGGTGATTTGTGTGTCACAATATCGTTTAAGTATATTTCGAATATTTTACTAGCAATTCGTGATCTCACCGTTCCCCAAACCCATTGTTGCAAGATGCAAGTTTCAGAAATTTTAGATGGATATTCTCTATTAGGTCAAGTTTTCAAACCCCCACACTACTGATCCATAGGTTACAATAGGTGTTATTATCATAAACAGTCTAAAGGTAAATTCAAATTTCTGGCTTTTTTTAGCAGACTATACATATCCTTTTTAGCGTTTTCAGTTATAGTTTTTATGCTAGTTACCATTCTGTTTGTTTCTGTGTAGTTTTATACCAAGATATACATAACTGTGGACTAAACTAAGATTCTTCTCCCCAAATGTTTATATCAGTTTCGATTTAGCCGCTGGGCCTGAACCGAATACTAATTGTTTTCCTTTTAATACATTTACGTTGAGTTGCCAAGTAGTGCAATATTCATGGAAGGAAGACACACATTGATGACGCCAGGTGGTCTCCTTTATCTGTA